TTCTCCTAGACACAAATAGGGGAATCCAAGCTACTCTAGCTTTTATTCAAGAAACTAAAGTAGGCACACGAAAGTGGTACCTACAGCAAACAACAGACAACTAATTTCCTTTGTCTATAACTAGAGCAGAGGCTCTTACTATATGTCTATGAACCTATATATACTATTCCCTTATACAGAAAAAACTTGTAAATTACTAGAGCAGCCTCACTGCTCTCGTCCTATATAGTCTTAGACTCACACAGGACGTTAAACTAATCAATCAATCAATCAATCAAGCCCTCCCTATAGAGCCCTAGCACAAAGTAATCCTACACAACATCCCTACATCTCTTGCAACAAACTTCTTCCTATCACTACAGGCCTCAAACTCCTTTAGAGTAGTTAGCTGCACTCCCTTAGCAAAGGTTAATACCCTATCTTGCTATAATTGCTTTCTTTTATATAATTTATAGCGTGTGGCAGCCTTGTTAGCTACCTGAAGGTTAGCAACCTAGTTGCACACTAAAACTAGTGAATGCGCCATCAGCTCTGCGCCTTTGGTGAGCTGATTAAGGGCGTTAACTATTAATGTTAGTAAGCTATTAGTGTGTCTCTAGATCCTCTCTTGAATTAGCTTTAATTAAGACCTAAATTCTAGGGTGTTGCTTAGTGTCTTAGACTCCCACGTGCTGTTGTCTACAATAGGTGGTGTTAGCGTGCGTAGCTGTACTTCAAGCTTTAATATCACAGCCTCTAGGTCAAACAGGACTAGGCCAGCGCCTCTGAATCCTCCCTAGATGTTGCTCTTAGTAATTGAAGCATCAAAAGCAGCTTTAAAGCACGGCAAGAACTCAAGTTTAGTGATGCGAGTGATCTTGCTCCGCATCAGCTGCTCAGCTTGGCGGCCATAGGCCTTCTTTAATGGGGAGAAACAACCCACGTCAAGCGGCTGTAGCAGATAGGATGAGTGTGGGGGCATACACAGAGTGATAATCTTGTGCTCCTCACAGTACTGGTGGAATTTGACTGAGTTGTGGCTCTCGTGGCCGTCCAGAACAAGCAGTTAGTAGCTACCAACAGTGCGCGCCTTTGTGTGCTCATTAAAGTGCTTTAACCACTTAACTCTAAGCTTATTATTAGTCTAGCTGTTGTTAGAGACACTAATAACCTAGTTGTTAGGTATACTAGGCTCCTTATACTAGGCTAAGAGGTGGTGCTTGCTAGAGAGGATAATAAAGGGTGGGATAGACCAGCCCTTTGCGCAGATGCCTTGGATAATGCTAGTCCACTCTTAGTTGCCCTGCTGCACTGTCTTTGGTCTCCCTTGACGCTTAGAGCCTATAACAACAGCACTAGTAGATATAATGCCCATTGTAAAGCTAGATTTGTTAAAGTTGTAGGTGTCTTTATCTAGGATACTATACTTAGCTTTAGTATTCTCTATAAGCTAGAACTAGTTACTAATTACCTTAGGATCCTTACATAGCGCTCTCTTGTAGTCATACTTGCAATTAAACTTAACTTTAAGCTCTAGCCGACGTTTATCAAAGTTGGTAGCCTAGTTCTTGCCAACAGGGGTCTAGTGGCGCTCAGCAAGCAGAGAATTGGCCATGCCCTCCACATTAGTGAGTTAGGGTGAGAATCCTTGCTTATCCAGCCTCAACATGTGCTGGACAATTACCTCCTCTTTAGTCCTAGTTATCTTAATTATGTTAGGCTTGCAATCGCGTTGTGGAGAGGTTCTAGCAAGTTAGTAACTAAGTGTCCTTTAAGACACGTTGTAGATGGCTGCAGCGCGTCGCTAAGAGAGTGTCGCGTCTTAATAGATAGCCTGAAGAGCAAGCTGTATTCCTGCTTCCTTTAAGGGTTTGATTGTGTTGTTACGTTGAGGCATTGTAGGTAGAGTGAAGTTTGGTGTGGCCTTGGCAAAAGTGAGTCACTCGCTTGTGTGAGCCACTCGCTTGTGGAGTACGTTATAGTTATGTTAAATATATACTAAAGGATCACTTCAGATTAGCTATCTAGAGACTAGTAGTATGCCTGCAGACAGATTAGCTAAGTCACTTACCTAACAACAGTTTAATAAGTTTAAGCAGCTAATTAACATTTAAGATATAAAGATATTAATTAAAGAAGAGAGAAAAGAGCAGGAACTTTTAAAGTACCCTAATAGTATAGATTGTTACACACAGATCACCACCTACTAAGACCCTGCTAACTCATTGAACACCTTAATGAGCCCCCTAAGCCAATTAATGAAGATTAACTAGAGCTCAGCCTGACTACGCCTCGCCACATATCTATGGCCACTATACGCTGATGCTGAAGTGCCACTGATCACCTTGTGCATAAGCTCACCAGCATTTAAATAAAAGGAAGAGACACCCTAAGGTGCCTAGATTAGAGATAATTAAGGATTGCTGTAGGAATACCTAATCCCTAAGAGAGAGGGAGAAGGACCACTATAAGAGTTAGGAAACTACTAGGGACTAGGGTAAGGGGCAGGGTATCTAGCCTGATAATACCTTGGACGACTACGCCTGAATAGGTGATCTAGCGTGGCAGGATCACTATACAAGCAGGAGGCAGAAGCCCTGGTGAGGATTAGAGAGGAGTTTGTTGATTAGGGGGTGGCTGGGGGAGCAGTCACCTTGGGCCTAGCCTTGCCCTTGGGAGGGTTGCGGGGGATTAGAGGGTACCGCTCAAGAGCAGTCCTAGAGCGCTTAACAAAGACCTCGATCTTACAGGACTAATCAGCACTGTTAGCAGCACACAGTAAAATACAGCAATAATCAACATACTGTTAACTCTAGATTACAGCGAGCGTTAATTGCAGCATGAACAGGAACCACAGAGTTCTTGTAACTAATTAGAGTTAGTAAATAAACAAATTAATAAGGGATTAATAATTATACAGAATAGAGCAGGAGTAGGTGCTATACTTAACGCAGCGCTTGCTGTTCGAATTGAGCTAATCATGGCAAATGCCATCAATCAGGCCTGCGTTGAAACGCAGGGCGCACCCACCACACACCTCCTTACGAGCGGCACCAACCTTGATTAGAGCGGCCTTCTTCTTGCCCTTCTTAGGGTGCTTCTTCTCCTGATCTTTGGAGCCGCGAGCAGCTTGGCCGGATCGCTTAGGGGTGATGGGAGCGAGCTCGCTATCGTCCTCCTCGTCCTCATGCTTGTCCTTGTCCTCGTGATCAGCGTCCTGACTACTGTCCACCTGATTGTTGGAACCCTCCTCTGAATTGTAGCCGTTCGTGCCCTTAAGTAGATTAACCAGTAGATCAACAGTCCTCTGCCCTATTACACCGAACACCAACTTTTCTTAGTTGGAGAAAGGTCGATTTTCATCGATTTTTCATCCCAATACAACGAACATGCCTTCCTAATATCTATTTCCAGCGTCGGTTTTGTAGTGCAGGCGCTGGAACAGGCGCGCTGGCCATTGCAAGCTGAACAGAGTTGTGACCTGGTCTCAGTTGAGATGAAATCTCTGCAGTGGTCTGTGCGCTAATAGATTTAGACCGGTCGGAGACAGCAGACAGACAGAGGAACAAATCGCCAGAGCAGCGGCTCTCTCCTTAGCTATATAGCTACTTGCCTTGCCAGCAATAGCTATATAGCTAGCCGCCTTATTACGAATACCCCCCTATCATAACTAGCTATACCGACCCCATATACCTAGACGAAATCGACTGAGCAACG